GGTCAAATCTTTTTTGGCTCCTGTCCTCATTTAATTTAATAGCCGTAAGAAATATTTGAGATATTGTTTAGGCTGAACCCTTTGTTACTGATAACTTACAAACTGAAATTCTTATTTAATAGTAATATCTTTTATTTAGGTATCCAATTTACCTTTCTTCATTCACTATTCAGTCTTTTATTTCATTTTCCCCGATTTTTGAATGCTCTTCAATCCTTAACGCACTTGATAGAGAATGCTACATATTACATTCTCAATGTTACACGACTGAGCTTTTTTTCTGTTTTAGTAACAGTGTTTATTTGCGAGTTCAAGATTTGCACTGAGGCCTTGCTCTTAGTCGGGTTCTCTTGAAATCACACTATAAATGCGACAGAAAACTACGAGCGACCTACAGAAGCAACATAGAGCAGTTTCAACATATTGGCTTGCGCACAATATAAAGGTCCTTATAGTTGGTAGAGCAGTGCTAGCTGCTTTATGCCATTGGTTTGAATCTAGTTTGAGCCCTGATTTGTTCCTTTTTTCGGGTTCATTTGTAATTTCTTAAATTGCTATTGAGTACATTATTGGTACTGTTTCCGCAGTTCTCATTATCATCTTCAATGTACGAACTTGAAGATTAGAAATAAATACAGGTACGTTTTTCAAGCAGGCAACCAGGCAATTAAGCATAATTATGAGTTATAACTTTAAATTTCAACTTGGATAAGGCGCTTCTATAAGTTCAGTACCGCGATTATCTGGCCTTGTTCTTTCATCTGATGCATTAAACAGTTTAAAGAACTATTTGCCGCTTTGAAACCGAGAGATCATAGCTAAATCTTCTTCGCCTTTTACTGTTCTTTTGAAATATCATATCAGTTTTTTATGGCGGCAATCCATGCTTCAGATATTTTTCAAGTCAAATTATTGCTATATTTTTTATTCTTCGCCTAACCACACCAACTTTAAGAAATAAAATTACCGTTGCATGGGCGGCGAGTAGATTTTTTTTTTCTTTTTTGATTGTTTAAAAGCTATACGACAGTTAAACGCATATTCTTGAAGCATTCCATAGCACCGATCAGTGCTCTGTGTTTTTACATCACAGTCATACTGAAACTAGAAAATCGTATAATCTAGGAGGTATACAATAACATTTCTCCTTCTAATATTTGTTTAGTCCCTGGTTTCGTCGTTTTGAGACTGTCTACGTAAATTGAAAGGATAACATGCTGGAATAATCATCAAATTTTAACGCGCTTGAATGATATTGCTCTAAGCAGTGCATGCACGACTGAGCTTTTGTTCTGTTTCATTGTAACAGTATTTAGCTGCGTGTTCAGGATTTGTTCTGGGGCTATATTAATTTTAAGCATACTGGCCGTCTTAATGACTGTTGATCACGAAATCAATTGAGATGGGGGTAATTATAAAATTCGTTGTAAATGCAGCAAAAGTAGATTTGTCAGATGTAACTGAGAATGCACGCGACATAAGAACGCCCCCACAGGAGTCTGTACCGCTACTGGTGTTACTAGTACTGCACAACGATTTCTGCAGCATCTCCTGAAAACAGATGAAGACCAGCAAAACGCGGTCCATACCTTGGGATCGATGACAAAATAACTATCGACAAGACAAACGATAAAAACAAGGCCTATCACAATCTTGCTATTCTGAAATTACGAAATTTTGAACTATTAGTCAGAAGTCCTATTTGGCGCAAAATCGAACTTGCAAATGGCAATATCATCTTTGGACATTTTACTTAATGCCAAATGATTTTTGTTGCACTCTGTAGTATTCGATTGTTCCTGTAGTCTGTAATTAAGACCAATAGAACGACTAGTTTCCACTATTTGAATGAAAAAACTTTTTGCAGAGATGGCATTTTTGGGAGGAACGGGTTTCCGCACTTGCCGGTATAATCTAAACCGCAATCTTCGATAAAAGCAAGTATTAATCAATCGGAAGTTATGAATAACGATCTGCGGTATCTTTTTAAATTGTAAGATCACACCGTTGACTTTGCACTAACAACAACAACAACAATAACAACAACAACAACAACAACAACAACAGAAAAAATCAACGAGGAGTTCATGCAAAAACTAGTGTCAGGTGCAACTGTTACAATTGATAACATCTAGATGGGGAAAGACCTAAACGCTTTTTTGTTAATATGATGATGACAATATGATGAGAACTTTAAATGCTTAGAAGTGCATAGAACCGGAACATTAATATATTGGTTAATGGCACCGTTATCAAATGAAGATCTTTCTTACTTCAAAAGTTGATATTCAAGTACTGAGGAACGTTTTTAAGCAGGTAATCCGGCAGGAGTTACTGAGACTAGCTCCTAACAATAACTTGACTGAATGAAGTGCTTTTTTAGTTTGGAACCATGACTTTATCTCGAGTCCTTGTGCTGCGACTCGATGCATATAACAGATGAAGAAATCTTTTATACTTCTTATGTTCATGGCCATCATCAATATTTTAGATATTGAAGTAAGCCCCCTCGAAACTGATAACTAAAACGCGCCGATATCTTTTGCATTGTTTTACCACACCACACCCACTATACTAAAATAAAAAGACGCGCAGAGACGAAGACATCGCCCAGTATATCAGTGCTCTTCAGGAACACATTTGAAGATTAGTCCGAGTACCTTTGTGAGGTAAAGTATTGTAATTTGCTCACTCTTTCACTGTTATACTGGAACTAGAAAATTGTAAAAAAAAAAAAAAGTGGTGCACAGTTAACCCTTCGCAGTAATGATAGTGTGATGGCGAGTTTTGAGCCTGGTAAATACAAAACATTAGGATGTTTCTTAATTCAGTGACATAGTTGGCTCGGAAGAAAAAATCCGAGTACTCCAAGTAAGAGGCGTACCTAATACTTTATGGTATCTAGTCCAGATGCTCCTCTACCACTAGGCTACCAGAGACTCATGGGTAGTAACCAGAACGTTCTAAGTTCGACTCCTAATGGGAGTACTAATCGGACTTTCTTCGAGCCGCCTGTGTGTACAGCTTCAGTCAAAAACAAAAGGTTGCTTCCCTTTTTTTCAGCCAGCGGATCGGAAGAAAAAATCTAAGTTCTCACAACAGGAGTCGAACCCATGACCATCTGGTCACTAGTCCGGATGGTTTCTACTGCCGAGCTACAAAGAACTAGTCATAATCATAATCATAATCATAATCATAATCATAATAATAATAATAATAATATATATATATATTTTTTTAATATAAAAAAATCTAAAGACTACTAATAACAATTATAAAAAGCATCAAAAATAATAATAATAATAATAATAATAATAACAATAAGGATTTCTATAGCGCCATAAAATTCTTATCTACAATTAAAATTAAAAGTAAAGATTAAGAATTAAAATTCTTATCGCAATATTTACACTATATACATTATTCTAAAAGTACTTTAATTAACATGTTTTTTGAATAAGAAAGTCTTTATAGAGGTTTTAAATTTTGAAATGTCATCATAATTACGTATGGGTTCTGGAAGTGAGTTTCAAAGGTTCCGGGCCACCTGTTTCAATGAATGAAAAACATCCTTCTCGTGTAATCAATGTCTATCATTGCGCAAAGACGAATAACTTTCTGTTCAACGTAGTTATAGTTTTATGTCATCTTTTTCAGAGAGACGAAAGTAGCAATGCATAACGCCGCACAAAAAATGTGGCCGATCGCGTTCTTCCTATGTTTTGCAGTCCTGACGGTTGACTGCGAGAATTCCGGTATGTCAAGAACTTTGCTCATTATAAACTTGCTTCTTTTTCACTAGTGCACAGCAAGATGTAAAATTGGATCTGTTAATCTTGGATTAGAACAACTGTACAAGACCACCAAACAATATACAAATATATAAATTCTTTATTTTGGTTGGGTGGGGGGGGAGGGGCTGGACTAAGCAAGAAAAAAATACTTAGAACCGAGCGAACGGGCACACTTTCGGTGTGCTCGCACCCGCACTCTTCGGTACCTTTTTTTCCCCTACTGCGGTCTTCCGCCCTCAGCAAATCAGATAATGGTATGTATCCTCACACCAGAAGCGATGCAACTCTCTCCAACCTTGCACGTCTCCGGCAAAGACTAAGGTCTGGAAAGTACTGATAAGGGAGATGCTGTTTGCAGACGACGCTGCCGTAACCGCACACACTGAGGGTGCTCTACAGCCACTCATAAGCTCCTTTGCAAACGCTTGTAGCGAGATTGGTCTCACCATCAGTCTCAAGAAGACAACATCCTTGGCCAAGACGTCAGCAGCATCCCAAGCACCTCCATCGGCGGCTACACTCTCGAGGTGGTGAAGGACTTCACTTACCTAGGCTCGAACATCTCCAGCAACCTTTCCCTTGACACTGAACTGAACAAACGAATTTGCAAAGGAGCAGCAGCAGGAAGAGGGTCTGAGATAACACCATATTGATCATCAGCACCAAGATAAAAGTGTATCAGGCCTGCGTGCTTAGCACGATACTCTATGGTAGCGAGACATGGACCCCCTACTCCCGACAAGACCGAAGACTCAACACCTTCCAACACCTTGCCTCAGAAGGATTTTGGGTATCACCTTGCAAGACCGTGTCCCAAACAAGGATGTCTTTGCACAGGCGAGAGTAGCTGGCCATGTAAGCCGCATGGGCAACGGAAGAATTCCCAGGGACATATTCTATGGCGAGCTTGCCACAGGATCTAGATCGGCAGGAAGGCCTAACCTTCGCTTCGAAGATGTTTGTAAACGCGATCTGAAGGCAGGCGATATCAACCCTACGGTTTGGGAAGCTCTACGTGCCTTTTTAAGTTTTCCAAAAAAAAAAAAGAAAAAACAACAATAACATTCCGATTGATGAACATGGTGCATTCTAGGCTATAAACAATGTGAAATTATGTGGTTCCTCTCTAGTTACATTCGCTCACGAATAACCTCAGAGAGATTAACTTACGCCAACCTGACAAGAACATTACTTTTATTTTCATGCTTAGGGTATGAAACTATTGGATGTTACAGGGACACATCAAACCGAGCAATCGAGCCCTTGGAAGGAAAGGATTCTATTTTGGATGGAGCATATTGGACTCGGAAGAACCCCATCGCAAAGTGTGCCCAGGCTGCAAGAAGAGCAGGTTATGGCATGTTTGCTATTCAAAATGGCGGCTGGTGCGCGGCCAGTGCTACAGCGGTGAAGACGTTTAAAAAATATGGAAAGTCTGAAGCTTGTAGATCTGATGGCGAGGGCGGGCCATGGGCTAATCAAGTTTATGTCATCAAAGGTAAACTAAAGTATCTTCCTTGTGATAAGGAAGACCTGAATATTATATGCTAGTTTCAAAATGACTTAATGATTCAGATCACTGTCACCAAAACGATGTCAACGACAACGAAACTTAGTAGAAAAAAATGAGAAAGCAATTCTCATATACTCTCTTAAAATGTACATGTATCAGCAGTAATGTTACATTTTTAATACAATTTTAGCATCTATCGGATGCTACCTGGACAAACCAAGTCGAGCAATTCAACCCTTGGAGGGAAAGGATTCTATTTTGGATGGATCATACGGCTCTCGAAAGAACCCCATTGCAAAGTGTGCCGTGGCTGCAATGAGAGCGGGTTACAGCGTGTTTGCAGTTCAAAATGGCGGCTGGTGTGCGGCCAGTGCTACAGCAGCGGAGACGTTTAACAAATATGGAAAGTCTGCAGCTTGTAAATCAGATGGTGAGGGGGGACCATGGGCTAATCAAGTTTATGTCATCAACGGTAAGACGTTGTCTCGATGTAGGCCCTCAGTCACTTAGAAGAGACTCACGCCATTGTGTGCTATCAGTTGCCAACCATCCAGTAAATGTACTTTTTTTTTTTTTGAACAAACAACTTTTTCTCATTGTAAAGCAAAAAAGGTAACTATTATGTAGAACTGGCACTTGATAACTATGAAAAGTAAGTATAAACTAAAATATGACATGACTCACTATCAAATAAAAGTAAAGGATCTCGCTAGACTATTCTTAAATTCACCCTATTTCACCTTCTCATGAGCACCAGCTCCCAGTGTTCGAAAGTTTTATTCTGTGTCCGCTTTTATCTCCTTTTAGGGTTTGGATCCATTGGATGCTACAAGGACACCGGAAACCGAGCAATTTTACCCTTGGAAGGAAAGGATCCTGTTTTGGATGGGGCATATTGGACTCGAAAAAACCCCATTGAGAAGTGTGCAGTGGCTGCAATCAGAGCAGGTTACGGCATGTTTGCAGTTCAAAATGGTGGCTGGTGTGCGGCCAGTGCTACAGCACCAAAGACCTTTGACAAGTATGGAAAATCTACAGCTTGTGGTTCTGATGGCGAGGGTGGACCATGGGCTAATGACGTTTATGTAATCAGAGGTGAGACAGCTAGTGTTTCGATGTACACACCACATTATTACAGACATGACATGCCACCAGTAGCTAACCATAGTGTCTTTTTTCTTCTTTCTGAAGCGTCAGAAGAAATATCATCGTAAATTCGGAGGGTTGTGGGTTGAGTTTGTTGTCGGTCCTCTCCCATGCCCCGGAAGGCTTTTCTTGGGTAATACGTGTTTTTTCTGGACTCTCCTAAAATGCATTTCCTGCGTTCCCTGGCATTGGTAAATAAGGGTCAAATATATATTTGAGAAAGAGAGAAACCCCTGACAGTGTATAACACTAAAGTTCAGCAAGTAAAATTAAAAATTAATCCTTTTTATAGGAAAAATGCAAATTTTGAAAAAATGGCAGTCAAATTTCAGTTGCCAGAGAATTAAAAGTATGTTGACATACCCGTTAGGACGACCTTCAAATGTTCCCAGATATCTTTTAAAAGAGTCGTTAGTCTTGGTAATCATAGCTCAAGCGGCTTTTTAATGATCTTTGCTTATTAAGGATATGAATCCATTGGATGCTACAAGGACACTGGACATCGTGCAATCCACCCCTTGGAAGGAAAGGACCCTGTTTTGGATGGATCTTATTGGAGTCGGAAAAACCCTGTGGAAAAGTGTGCCGCAGCTGCAATGAAAGCGGGTTACGGCATGTTTGCACTCCAAAATGGCGGCTGGTGTGCGGCCAGTGCAATAGCGCCACAGACTTTTAACAAGTATGGAGAGTCTGCAGCTTGTAAGGATGACGGCGAAGGTGGACCATGGGGTAATCAAGTCTATGTCATCAATGGTAAGACTTAGTTTCGAGACACGCCTCGAATCTGAATTTGATGATGAGACATGAGCCATTTCATGCTAACAGTTGCCAAGAATATTGTAAATGTTTTTATTTTTTACACAACCAACTTTTTCTCACAGTTATTTAATTCTGAAGATAACTATGGTGTAACATATCGTAATGTAGCAGATCTTAAGGCAACAAGGCACGACAACTATGATAAATAACTATAAAGATAGCCTGGTTCCTCATCAGTAAAAAAGTCCCAGAACGCGTAACTTTAAAAACGTAAGACCATTCTCATACACTCCTTTTTTCTGCTTCATGAGTGCCAGCTCCTGATATCTGGATGTTTTATCCTGTGTTTAGTTTTGTATTCAGGATATGAATCTATTGGATGCTTCCGGGACAGGCCAAGTCGAGCGATCCAACCCTTGGAAGGAAAGAGTTCCCTTTTGGATGGAACATATTGGACTCGAACGAATCCCATTGCAAAGTGTGCTGCAGCGACTATAAAAGCAGGTTACAGCATGTTTGCTGTTCAAAATGGCGGCTGGTGTGCGGCCAGTACTACAGCGGCGAAGACGTTTGACAAGTATGGAAAGTCTACAGCTTGTAAGGATGACGGCGAAGGCGGACCATGGGGTAATCAAGTTTATGTGATCAAAGGTAAGGTAGCGTTTGGATACACGCCCGACATTATTTAGATGAGAGACATCAGCCAGTGCGAAGTGCTAACAGTTGCCAAGCATCTTAAAAATGATTTTCCTTCGTATAAAACCTGGCTTTACGCTAATGACTGGGTTCACCATCAGACAAGTGACAGAAAAGTTAACTCAAGAACCACTTTCGTAAATTCTCATTAAACCCTTAAGAGCACCAACTCTGAAAATTTAAATGCAAATTTGAAATTACAGGGTCCGCGCAGAAGTTTCCGAAGGGCGGGAACCAGTGGATTCAACTGCGCATGCTAAGGAAAGTGGGGGTTGGGGTAGGAGGTCCGAGGACGTCTTCTATGTGGGTTCAAACGGATCTAGCTGCTACAAAGAGAGTTAGCAGGATCTTCGCAATAGAATGAACAACCTAAGAGGTTGCAAAAGAACCTGAAAATTCAGGCTTGACCGGGAATCGAACTCTTGGCCCTTGCGATGACCGGACGCAACGCTCAGATTTCTCTTAGCAAAGAAGGAATTGATAATTATTGTCGGAAAGCTGAATCCATTACGTTTCCACTTTTGGATAAAAAGCTTGATATTACCGTACTTAATTGTAAACTGCAATGTCTATAAACGTGCACACTTACAGACATTTTATAAACCCATAATATGTCTGTAGATTTGACCGCATTTTGCGAAACTAAATCGCATAAAATGTCCCTGAAATTCTAATGTTTCCCTTGTAAGATTCAATCTACATTTACAGAAATTTTAAACCTTTCCACCTTTTAAAATGTGAGCATAGTCCTTATGAAATACTCAAGGAAAAAAACTCTGTATAATAGATAAGATAAAATGTCAACAAAATCTTCGTAAATTGAACAAAATAACTGTGGAAAAAGTTAATGAAGTGTTGAAAAAAAAAGTTTTTACATGCAAAGGATGTTTGTACAATATACTCGGAGAACTACAAGGAAACTGTGCAAAATGTTTCTATTTTTTTCTATAAAAATAATAACAATGGAAGCAAAACAGGAAGAAAACAAAATCCTAACAAAATGTATGCAAAAAGTGCACAAAATGTTTGTAAATGTCCATAAACAAAGTACACATGTCTTAAAAAACTTAAGTATTTTATTTTAATTTTTTTCCAAGTGTTGACATAATAAATATTTGTTTCACTATTACGACAAAGAATTGAATACATACATATAGAAACGTTATTTTACACAAGGTACGTGTAATTCTCCAGTCTTCGGATATATTTAAGCAATAGAAAACGTTTCCCGTGTTTGCATAGCCTGATATAAACACGAGAGGGGTTGGGAGAATTCGAGACAGTTATGCAAACCCGAGACGAGGTCGAGGGTTTGCATAACTGTCGAGAAATCTCCCAACCCCTCTCGTGTTTATATCAGGCTATGCAAACACAGGAAAAAAGTTTTCTATTGCTTTTATAAAATAACTTTCCCTAGAAAAACTTAAACCTCCTTGTTATGGCACTGATTAAAAGAGAAATTCTTACCAGTCGCAAAGTCGTGTACACGAAGGCTTACACGCGTAATCAGTTCTTGTTTTGCCAGAGATGCTTTCCAAAACACGGATTTTTCTCGCGTAAAATGTCAGCTTAGCGAAAAAGAAATTGACACAGCTTGTTTGTAAAGATTTTCCAAGTTTCAGCCGACGAAGGAGTGGGTGAATAAAGTAAACTTGTCGAGTTTTGAACTCAAAATTTTTTCAAATTTCTGCTGGCGTGATTAGCGCGCGAAAAGCAAAACATCTTGACGTCACAACCATGTTTACATACTCTCATGCAAACACTCCTCTCGGCCAATCAGAGCGCGCGTACTATCTTAGTTATTTTATAAATATATATAGTAAGACCCTGTTTACATGGAGTGGGGGAACCCGGTCTAGTGGGGTGGGTTTCTTTTGTTTTCACGCCCTGGAGAACACAAAACAAAAGAAACCCACCCCACTAGACCGGGGTCCCCCACCTCCATGTAAACAGGGTCTTAGTCGCACATGAAAAAAAAGAAAACAAAAACATCAAGACACTTCTTCACAAGTCTAATTCTTGAATAATAATGAGTGAAGTTTATAAATTATCGGAAGAAGAGGCATTCTTGAAGTTCACATGCCGCAGGGAAATGGTTTCCTCAAAGCGGAAGATTATGCTATTTTTTCCACCTTTGCTGAAAGTTATTGATTGAGAGAAGTTATTTTATCCGCAATTCTAAGGCATTTTCCAATCTTTAAGCAGCGGCTAATTCATAGGATTCATGTACTGAAGACTTATTGTGGACAAGACTGAGAACCAGATCCTTAGACTATTATCAAAAACTGAATTTCTTTAATGAAGAACTTTAGGAAAGAATATACTTTTTTGCATGACACAGATGGGGTGGGGGGGGAGCGGTAAGGCCCTTTGCTCCCTCCCCCTGCGCAGGCCCTGGTCTCATATCAAAGTTTCTTTTATATTCAGGGTATGAATCCATTGGATGCTACAGGGACACCGGAAACCGAGCAATCCTACCCTTGGAAGGGAAGGATTCTATTTTGGATGGGAGATATTGGACTCGAAAGAATCCCATTGCAAAGTGTGCCACCGCTGCAAGGAGAGCAGGCTACAGCATGTTTGCAGTTCAAAATGGTGGCTGGTGTGCAGCCAGTGCCACAGCAGGGAAGACGTTTAACAAGTATGGAAAGTCTACAGCTTGTGGATCCGATGGTGAAGGCGGACCATGGGCTAATCAAGTTTATGTTATCAAAGGTTAGTGTATAATATCTAATTAAGTTGTCATTATCTAACAGCAGACTTTACTATTATGGTAAACTATGAAAAGGAATTTACTCACAAAAGGTTCAACAAAAAACGTCAGGCAATCCTCAGTCACTCCTTCAAGAGATATCAGCTTTGATATTTTAACTTTGATTAAATTTTAGCATCTATTGGATGTTACAAGGACACCTCAAAACGAGCAATCCAGCCCATGGAAGGAAAGGATCCTATTTTGGATGGAGCATATTGGACTCGAAAGAACCCCATTGAAAAGTGCGCCGTGGCTGCATCTAGAGCTGGTTACAGCATGTTTGCAGTTCAAAATGGTGGCTGGTGTGCAGCCAGTGCTACAGCACCAGAGACCTTTGACAAGTATGGAAAGTCTACAGCTTGCGGTTCTGATGGCGAAGGTGGACCTTGGGCGAATCAAGTTTATTGTATGGCTAATTGCTGATCTGTTACTGGCTCTAGATGAGTTGTTTCGCACGAGAGTGTACACCTCACCGTAGCTGAAATAAATAGAATAAGGGCTACATGGGACAGCCAAAACAGTGGTTGCTCCACTGTTTAACGTAGGTCAGTTTATAGTAGCATAGAGCTGATGCGGAGAAATGTAAGCTTTAGGAGTTTGTTTCCTTATATGCTGAAAAAAAAGGTTGTGCTGATTTATGTTGTTTTTTCTTTGCCTTGTTTATAAGATTTAGAAGACACGGAATATGTTATATATAACATTTTTTTTAAGGTCCCCTTCCTTGAATTATGTTACTTTCAATTTAAATTGCTACTCCTTGTATATCGCGGGGTTTAAGTGGTTAACACTTTACGGTAATCGGCAATTGCAAAACATGTCCCACTTTTAGCACCGTATTTTAGGCCTATTCAGACCTGGTTGGCCTCTGAGCCCAAAACCGCCCAACACGCCCTCCTTCTTCTGCTCTCTTTAATCTTCGCTACTTATTTTTTTTTTTTTTTTTACTACCAAACTTAGCGACTTTTTCAAAATGTTACTTGGACACACTTTATTAGAGAGCTTAAGCAGCAGACATTTTTGAGGTCACGAGCGCCGACCGGAAATTACTCGCGCCAGTGTGAATATACTGCGCGTGTGTTTACGTCTGTGAGTCAGGTCGCCGAGGCCAGAACGCCACTCTTGAAGTTCAAGATAGAACGCGAGATTCTAGTGCTCGAAATTTCGCGTTTGGGTAAGAATTAATGCAGCCTCATTCCCAGTCTTCCTTGGCGATTTCGGATTTGAGGTCACCTGTCAAGCTTGTCTTGGAAATTCGCCGAATTCGCCAAGGAATCGTTCCGCGTAAACACGTGTTATTATCTTAGGTCAGTAATTTCGAGTTTTGATTGTATCAAAAAACGTGGATTTAATTTAGCCAAACAAATCGACCCATCTGAGGAGTGTGTTCCAGTGAATGTGACTGGTGATGGAAGCTGCCTGTCGGGAATGAGTTAAAGCATGTTGAACTTCGTGAAAGGTGTGTCATCGAACTAACTCTGTACTCAGCATGTTATCTAGCGGATGAAGAACTCGTTAATCGAATCGCAGGAGAACGTAAGAGAGACTAGGTGTCGTCCCAAACGATTACTGGATCAACTCATAGACGCTGCTTTTGGCCATGAAATATAAAAAACGGAAGTCGTGAAGTGCTGTCAGCCTTTTGAATACGCCTCACTGTAGATTTAGTGTCTTGTTTCTTTCAACTCGTAAGTTACTCTTTTCAAAGAGAAACCATCAAATATAAGAATTCAGGAAGAAATAGCTGGCTTTGAATTCTAATACAAATCTTCTAATTTCCCGCCATCTTGCCCTGATTACCGCTTGATGCAACTATGAGCGTGAACACCTCTATTTTACATGAGATGATCCTTTGAGGACTGGTGAAAACTTTCAGTCAAGCTTTCTTTCCGATTCTATCAATTTCTGATTCTATCGTTGTTGTTATTGTTGTTGCACGACCCCATGTCTAGGTTCTACGTTCCACTGTAGTACTATTTAAACTTAATCTCAATCGTAGCAGGATTAGATCAGTCGGTGGAGCACTTGATTGCAGAGTGGGAGGTCGCGGGTTTAAACCAATACTCAGAGTCTTAAAATGACTGAGAAATGAAGCTTCTACTTTTGCCCTTCTGCAAGTGGCTAAACCTTCGCGTGGCTAGGATGACCACGTAAAATGGCGGTCCCATCTCCAGTATGAGACGTAAAAATAGTGTCCCCAATTAGGATCAATTAGTACTTTCGTGCTTAATACATTGACACTCAAATAGAGTGCTTTTCTTTTCTTTTTTTTTTTCATCTCGAATCACTTTCACAGCAGTGGTCTTCCGGTGAGTCGTGAGTTTAAAAAGAGTATTACATGAGCTTTTGGTACTATTTTCAAAATAGACCATCAGAATGTTCTGCTGCATGAACTGGGAGCTGCAAGGTACATGTAGGAAAAACTAAACATTTGCTGTACAATACCTTTCTCAGAAATTATGCAGGCAGAAAAATTAAGATAAGGCCATCCCCCTTTTTTTTTTCGTGTAGCGTAGAATGCGTTTCCTGGTGTTAGGGCAGTCGGTCGGTCGGATTGAAAAAAAAACCCTAAAAAAAAAAGTCTCAAGAAGTCGAAGTTAACGTTTGAATATTTGGATTAACAAAATGCACATTATACTGTAAAAGTGCTCCTGTTTTTGTTCTTGTTTTACTCTATGCTGTTACTATGCTCATTTTTTCAGATTAAAAGAATGATTTCAAGTGAAAAATGGTTTAACTAAGTCGTTACTTTTTTTTTGGTTTTTGGAAAATGCCAAAAATTTGGGTCGTTCGGACGACGCTAGACGGAGAAAAAAAAGAGGATGGCCTAAAGCCTCAACTATCCAAAATTTCCCCACCTCTAAATATCATTGCAACCTCCTTTAGTGTGATTTTACTTAACGTGAACAATATCGTACCTTTGTGTCTCAGCCCGGATCAGGATGATTGATTCGTTTAACCAAATGAAACGAGAATATTTAACAATTATTCCTCGAGCCCGAATGGGCTCTGAGTCAATATAATAAAATCCAACTAGTTGGTCAAAAATATCGAGAATAAAAAAACCTTAGTTGCTGACCAATGTCGAAAAGTAAACTGCTAAATGGCACCGAAACCAGCTTTAGGCGCGCACTGATTTTTTGTGTTAAAGAGAGAATTGTGGGTAGGAGCAAAAATAAATAAATAAATACGGAGGCAAGGAAGGGAGGGGGTAAGATAGTAATTCTGTCTACATCCACTTCTGCACAAATACCTAACCACAAAACAAGCAAAAAAAAAGAGACATAAGCAAACAACAACATGCTGGCTACATACATGCGACGCATGCGTCATAACAAACTGGAGATTAGGGGTGCTTACCATTTGACGGAAAATTTCGGAAATTCCGGACGGAAGGTAAATGGTAAGGTCACTTTTCGGAAATTCCAACCGAAAATTGAGGAGTACGTTTTGAGGTAGTCCTTTCATTCCGGTTGGTACGAACCAAACGGAATGTTGCTTACCATTAACCAATTTCTCAGTTCCTTCTCGGTTCCAGACTCACGCGACACAAATTCGCCCTTTTTTGGATTCTAACCGTAACGGATGTGGCATTTCTACGGTAAACTGGCAAATTGCTTACCATTATGCTTTCGCCACCCCAACCGGATTTTTCTGTCAAATGGTAAGCACCCTAGGATTGCGGGCTCCTCTTGTCGTCCGCAAAAAAAAAAAAAAAAAAATTCAAAATGTCCTCGAGTTTGCCAATCTTTCGGAATCGATCTGCACAGGTTCCCGTTTATTTCGAAATAGCAACTTGCTTACCGCTCATGAACATGTCGCGAATAGTTATATTGTACCTAGCCTGTACATTTATTTCCTTTCCCTTTACTAAGAACAGTTACGAAGAATCTAATCCTGGCAATAAGAACCAAAAAGCGAGGTACAGCTGGAGGAAAGCAAACCCAGGAAGAATGTCAACATCCGGATTGCGATAAGCACGTGGCTAGGGACTCCATTTAACAAACTTATTTAGAGACCGACCCAAAATCCCACAAAATTTACGTCAGAATCAGGCCCTTTGGCTAATATTTTTAATTTACCAGCGCGAAATGTTTGTCCTATTAACGAAAATGCACAACGGGACCATTGTATTACACATAAACTGCTATTTTAACTGGAATTAACAGTGTTACATTCATTTTGATAAAAAAATAGTGTTTTCTCAAGTTGATATTAAGTATATCCGATTGATTGATTTTGAGAAAGTTTCTATCTATATCGAAGTTAACTATGTACAGTATGTGGAAGTTTTAAGTTTAATTGTTAAATTGTAGCTATTTTCTTGTTACTTTCTTTGATTAGATAATGTTTTAAAATTAGTGTGTTAAAGTTTATTTCTTGTTTGCTTTTATTTGATTAAACAAAGTATTGAATGTATTTTTCATTTACTTTTTATTTATGTATTCATTTGAGAAGAAAACTCTTTTACTTTTACTACTTTTTGTAATAACGATAAAATTGACACGATGATCCGCTAACTTGAGTCCAAGCCATTCCTACGTTTCGTTTGGGATCATTTGCGGTCCAAGCTGGGGATCGTTTGCGGTACTGTACAGTGTCGAACGAAACACGAAATCGGTGAAATTTGCTATTTTCAGCTACAATAACGACAATGAATGATTTTCCAGTAATGTGAGACTTAGTTATGAGCACAGGATTATGGGATCGCCAGGGGGCAAACATTGAAAGTCGATACAAAGAAATGTATGGCTTGGAGCTCTCTGTATATACCTGCCGCTTTAATAGCACGATTAATTAGCCCTGAATGGGATCTTAATGACTCTACTGTAAACGATTTCTTCGCTTCTTATCTGACCCAGATCGACTTCGTTGTTCGCCATTTTGAAAATCAATAACCGCAAGCCATATCCTCGCTGGCGAACGGAACGTCGCCCGAAGGGCGACCGAGACACGAAAGGCCGATCTTGCGAGCCCTCAGTCTCTTGGTTGCGGTCAACTAACGGGGAACCACTATATGATACTTACACCACGTACCTACCAATAGAATGTGTAACGAAACTGTAACGCGATCAAAATAACCCATTTTTTCATAGGTTTTCGACGGGTTTTGATGTTTTAACGACAAACACATCTCCTCTGGACCCTGTGCATTTGGCCGTGATTTTATGAGAAGCGGAGGTGACTAATGTTGGTGCTTTGAAATTGTAAGTTTTTGTGGGATCAATGCTATGAAGTCTATCGATAAACACTCCTTGCGTAAGGTCGACTGTGAAATTTACTGAATGGTCTCGAAATATGTAGTACTAACTTAGGTATAAATGAGCGGGCAATGCGGACTCATTTAAGCCTTTCCAGTTGTACTTACATGTGCTCATATTTACAACGAGTGTAATTACGCTCCGCTCGGCCGGCGATCACAATGATCACAACGATCGAAGGTAAGCTTATGTATTGTCGAATTTGATATGTATTAACTTTAAAAACAAGAACAACTTCCCCACATTTATATTGATTTCTTCTCGCCAAAAAAAACAAGCGAAATGTTTGGTAATGATCCAGAGCACCAATGAGTTCTAATGCCTTTTCCAATTATTTTTAGGGAAGATATAGAATCTTCGCCCAAAAATTTTTATCAGTATAATACACATAAGTAGAAAAATATATATATACTGGATAAAGATTTACGAACAAAATTAGTTATGCAGAACAGTCTGACTTTTTATGAAAATTGGCAAATACCGTATTTATTCGTATAACCGCCCTACCTCGAATTAGCGCCCACCTCGAATAAGCGCCCAGCCTCGAATAAGCGCCCAGCCCCTCCTCCTCCCAATCAAACTCAAATAAGCGCTCACCCCCACCCCACACACTTAAGTGAATAAATTTTAAGAAGAGACTTCCCCGCGGACGGAGTTTTCTTCAGAGTATTTTACAAAAACCTTGCATTGTTACATCCTCGCATTTTGTTATTACCATTTATTGTTTTGTTGCAAAATAAACATACTTCACTTGCTGAAAATGATGAAAATTTAATAAGCGCCCACCTCGAATAAGTGCCCACTCTCAAGGTCCAAAAATTTAATAAGCGCCCAGGGCGATTAATCGAATAAATACGGTATGATAATTCCCATCAACTTGGTATTTATTTACACACTCTGACTGCTTTTGTATCGGAAATCTTACTCGTTCCTACGATTTCTGCCTCATTTACTAATGGTTAAATACCATGTACTTTCCATGAAATATTTCGTAGATGTCACTTTGTTTATACTAAAGTAAAGGAGGATTTTTTTATTTTTATGGCCACGTACATACTTTAACTTGTTAACGTGTTGTCTTGTCATAACCCGCACAGCGCCGCACAGCGCTCATAGCGGCCGAGCGTCGTTACACTCTTCATAAATATCACCACACTTAATTATAACTTAAACGCTTAAAAGAGCCAATCCCCCTACAAGTATGCCTAAATTTGTACTATATATTTCGAGACCTTTTCTTCATGTAGATCACTGTGTAAATTCAGTAAATATATTAAATTTCACCCTCAACCTCACGCAAGCAGTGTTTATCGATAGAATTTATCGCATTAATCACACAGAAACTTGAAATTTCAACGCCCCAACATTAGTCACCTCCGTTTCTCATAAAATCACGGCAAAATGCGGCATTCTCTCTCCAAAGACACCGCTTTTAACGGAGAAACAACTCCACGCTATACATTTCTTTGTAGCGACTCGCAATGTTTGCCCCCTGGCGATCCCAGAAACTCATTCATTTTAGGTCACAGATAAATCGCGGTTGATTGTGAAAATAGGAAATCTTTCGATTATTCATTGAAATTTCCAAACATAAGAATAGTCGTGTGTGGGCTCTCTATGAAGTTAAAGTAATAATACTTGTTTGACAATAATTGGTCTGCCGCCAGAGCCTGACATGGGTGACCTTTTGTTTGCATATGCAATGAGGAAACAAGACCCGCTCCTTTTTCGTGCTTGAGAGAGATCATTTTACTAACAAAGATACACTTGATCGAACACTAATATTCTACCACGAGCTTCATTTTGCAGTGGGTCGAAGGTTCAAAATTCAGTGAGAAGCAATTTTCAGTTACTAGTATCTCTGCGTCCGCTAACCGGATTTTGGAAACAGTATATCATCAAGGTGAGGCCTTTTATATTACGATTTTTTTTGTGCGGTTTGTGTGACACAGATCAAATTATTACTCCTGACTGAGCGAACATGAAATCAGTTGAAAACTGTGGACTGAACCGATGGCAAAGTTTAAGTTATAACACCACAGTAGTCTATACTGTATATGTTGTGGTGAGCTGCCTAAAAATTGAAAAAAAGATATCGGCGTGTTGGTCATAACTGGTAATTTCGAGGAATAGACTTTTTTTCTCTATTTTTGTCTGCAATCGAAAGTAACGCTAAAAAAAATCTTAATTAAGTTTGCTTCAACAAATTAAATCTATACAATTTTACCCCTCTTGCAACTCGGAAACTATTCTAATGACGATCTTAGAACTTCCTTTCGGCAGCTCAGATAAAAGAGGTGCGTTATTTATACCAGGTTATACGACATTTTTGTTTACAAATACTGTCAAATGAGTCTGAGCGCAGTGGAAACCAAATCAGATTTATGAGTAATCAATTCTATATTTCTCCAGGTCTCAAACAAACAAAGTTTTAAAAGTTTTCGGAGTCTTTTCAACGTGGAGTTGAATTAACTGTATCTTTTGAGTCACTAAAATTTATGTCAGTCTTGTCAGTCCGACGTCGTCTTATTTATTTATATGTAAGTGTGGGTAATGTCTCGAATATATCATAGAAACGTGAGGAAGTTCAGATCAAGAAACAAGAATCGATTTGTGAAATGCTAACACTGGTAGAGACAACAAGCAAGACAACCCTGGATTTGCGTGGCGATTTTATTTATCTATTTTCATTTTTTTCGAAAATCAAATTCCTTTTCCATAAAACGTGAGTTTTCCAACGTGGTTATGGCCATTATGTGCTCTTTTTCAGAAAGATGAAATTAGCAGTACATTATTCCGCACGGAAAAGGCTGCTTATGGCGTTTCTCTGTTTTGCGGTCCTTGCAGTCAGCAGCGGGAACTGCGGTAAATGTCTACTCAGGCTGCGTACTGAATAAACTTATTACAAATTTACGAATTCATAGCAGGATAGGACTGGATCCGTTGATATTTCTTCAGTCAGTGACGTAAAGATCTTGGTGCTGATGCTCAATAATTAATGGACTTACTTAGAAGCTCAAGATTCGAACACAACGCTCCCTCGGAGGCCGACACCAAATTCATGTAGCGTGCTCCATACAAAGCGCAAGAAATTTGGTTAAAAATTTTTACCAAATATCTCGCGGAAAATCTGCACTGAAGCTGAATCTTGGCAAGACTAGGCCAGGCTTGCATGTGAATTTTTCTTTCCTTAGATTGTTGACATTATTTATTATTGAATGGTTGAAAGATGTCCTTTTGGTCGCGTCTATTAAAACAGGCAACTAGTGGAACAGTCTCTTGATCAAATTCATTCACCACCATATAAAGGTTGCGTGGCAGGCGTTCAAAAGGGAAGGGCTGGGGCTTCTTTTTAACGCTGTTATCCTATATTTTGCTTATGTTTAGGGTATGAAACTATTGGATGCTACAAAGACACCTCAAACCGAGCAATCCAGTCATTGGAAGGAAAGGATTCTATTTTGGATGGATCATATGGCTCTCGGAAGAACCCCATTGCAAAGTGTGCCGTGGCTGCAATGAGAGCAGGTTACAGCATGTTTGCAGTTCAAGCTGGTGGATGGTGTGCGGCCAGTGCTACAGCACCAAAGACCTTTGACAAGTATGGAAAGTCTACAGCTTGCCGATCAGACGGTGAAGGCGGAGGATGGGCAAATCAGGTTTATATAATCAAAGGTAAGCATGCAGCGTTAGGATACAGGACTTGTTTTATATACGAACGAAAGTTAATCGATAAATTCCATCGTATTTCCAGAAACTTTGAAAATTTAAAATATCTACTAGTCATATATTTTTTCTCAAGCCACCGATAATTTCCTTTTAACTTAAATATATGGCTATGGAAATTAAGCAGTTTTCCTTCTTAACTTTGGGCAGACGTGTCAACTACGAGGAACTTTTCATAAATTAATCTTTTTAAAATTTTAATGATGTTTTTGTCAGACATCAAGCCAAACGTAGATCATGTCTTCAGCCTTTCAGTCCGCCTTTTTGCAATCCTGTCCCTGGTGAAGGAAAAAGTTAATTAAATAGTTTCTCTTTAACACAGTTTTGATAATATATGTTTACCTTCATTTTCAGCGTACGAAACTATAGGATGCTACAAAGACACCTCAAACCGAGCAATCCAGTCATTGGAAGGAAAGGATTCTATTTTGGATGGATCATACGGCTCTCGAAAGAACCCCACTGCAAAGTGTGCCGTGGCTGCAATGAGAGCTGGTTACAGCATGTTTGCAGTTCAAGCTGGTGGATGGTGTGCGGCCAGTGCTACAGCACCAAAGACCTTTGACAAGTATGGAAAGTCTACAGCTTGCCGATCAGACGGTGAAGGCGGAGGATGGGCAAATCAAGTTTATATACTCAAAGGTAAGCATGTAGTGTTAGGATGCAGGTCTTGTGTTACATCAGGGGCACCCAACGAGAATATAGTTCAAAACCACTTAAACATAGCATTGTTAAACGTATTTTAGTATTTAAACGGTAGATAAAGGCATATTTTTGTCCCCTAAAAATTTTTCATCTGTTCGGATTTCCTAGCTGAAAGTCTCGAGATCCGAAAATCATAGGGATCAAAACTTACCTTTTCGAAAATTTCAGCCAGAAAAAAGGCTCCAGAAAATTCTAGGTGAGCTTTTTAGGGCAAAAATCCGTTAAAAATGGGCAATTACACCAATTTTTACATGTTCGAAAATCCTAGGAGAGGTAGGCAAGCAAGAAATTTTACAAAAAATGTTCCGAAAATTCTAGATCTCAAATCGTCTTCCGAACAGATATTTTCCGAAAATTGACGTTGGGTGCCCCTGTTATATACGAACGAAGTTAATCGATAAATTTCATCGTATTTCCAGAAACTTTGAAAATTTAAAATATCTGCTAGGAATATAATTTTTCTCAAGCCACCGATAATTTCCTTTTAACCTATATGGCTATGGAAATTAAGCAGTTTTTCTTCTTAACTTTGGGCAGACGTGTCAACTCTAAAGAACTTTTCATAAATTAATCTTTTTAAAATTTTAATGATGTTTTTGCTCGCCATCAAGCCAAACGTAGATCATGTCTTCAGCCTTTCAGTCCGCCTTTTTGCAAACCTTTGAAAAAAGTTAATTAAATAGTTTCTCTTTAACACAGTTTTGATAATATATGTTTACCTTCATTTTCAGCGTATGAAACTATCGGATGCTACAAAGACACCTCAAACCGAGCAATCCAGTCATTGGAAGGAAAGGATTCCATTTTGGATGGATCATACGGCTCTCGAAAGAACCCCACTGCAAAGTGTGCCGTGGCTGCAATGAGAGCTGGTTACAGCATGTTTGCAGTTCAAGCTGGTGGATGGTGTGTGGCTAGTGCTACTGCACCAAAGACCTTTGACAAGTATGGAAAGTCTACAGCTTGTCGCTCAGACGGTGAAGGCGGAGGATGGGCAAATCAAGTTTACTTGCTTAAGTGCTGATCAGTTGTTAGCACATGTTGTGACTGGTTTGTCACCTCGCAATAAGTTAAATTAAATAAGGGTGTAAAGGGCAGTAAAGGTTCCAAAGTTGTTCTCATTGTTTTTGAGGTTTATTTGGAATTCAGTTTAGTTTAAAAGTCGTCAGCTCTATTTTTATTTTAATAATAATAATAATAATAATAATAATAATAATAATAATAATAATAATAATAATAATAAATGATTAATATTTTTACAGCAAAAAAATAGATAAGCTGACCTGGTATAACAGTTGTTATAAACCTACAGTGTATGTGCAGTAATAAAATATTGCGAGATAAAAACAAAAATAATTATAGTACATAGTAAAAAAGCGGACAGACTAATATTTGCAATAAAATGAATTAATCTACAGTCTACATTTATGCTGTTTTTTGTCTGGTTCTTACAAATACTTAAATGTTTTTCCTTTAAAAGATCCTAAAGTTAGGCCATCAGCTCTTAATTTATTGGGTAACTCGTTTTAATCCTTCAGTCGACACATAAATCTGCACCTACTTGATAGCGTTAAAAGCCCCAGTTTGTCTCTCACCGTTTGTCAACAAGTCGGGTGGTTTGCCCTTCAGATAGTCTGCATAGCTTTGTTTTGTAATCGTTCTAAAAAATTAGAGTTCTTCTTGGACTGAGCAGGATCCCCACATAATACAATCGTAATGTAAAATAGGTAAAATTAGGTAAAATGAAGTGAAGAATGATCATCGCAGGTGTGAACGCAATTTAATGCAATTGCGTAAGAGAAGCCTGAAAAAAAATTCGGTGCTTTAACGGGATTAGAACCCGTGATCTCGCGATACCGGTGTATTACGCTTTAACTAACTAAGCTATGAAGCCACTGATGATGAGAGCTGGTCAATTATGTGTTCATATGTTCCCGTGAAGAGATGAAATGTGACAAATGTATATGAAAAATTATAAAATTGTCTCTTTATAAATCTTCAAAAGGGTAGTTGGATACAGAAAGGACGAAATCCTATTCAGCAGCTTAAGTTTAGGGGACTTTCTCTGGAGGCGACGCAAGATTTGTGACTGTTCCAAGATACCAATTCGTCTGCCATCACAGAATCCAATCACCGTAAGACTATACG